TTATCTTTTTCCGCGGCCGATAGCTGGGCCAAGTACTGGTGGTTTAAGAAACCATTTTTGACCTTTTAAGCTGCAGTGTGAAAACATAAAGGCTGGCATTTTTGTGGAGGACAAAGCTCTTCTAACCAAAGAAGAGGAGACATTTACTTCAGATTGAACTTGTTCTTTATGTTCTTCACAAAGTGTCCAAAGTTGCCAGGTACAGCCGCTGCATCCCCTGAGCTGTCACTAGACGCCTCATCTGAACTGTCATCCACCTTTTCCTTCAGAAATTTTCTGTTGGACTTCAATGCTGTTAACCTTCGGGCATACCTGCACTCAAGTCATGACAACGCAATTCTGAAATTAGAACAGGGCGAGAAAAATAGATAAAAGAAAGTTAAAAGAAACAAATAAAAGAATCCACCTCACTTCCCAAGTGCAACATTCACCTTGGGTTTTTATCTACCTGACTGCTCTGAGATTCCCAACACCAAAACCCCAAAATCTGCACAGAGTACCTAGTACCCCACCACTGAAAATTTCTGTGTTTCCATTTTTAATCCTCGACATCTGCAGAAAATCTCCTCCACATTTCAAGAAGCATGTGTAACTGCATTCGCACCACAAAAGAAAAGGGGGACAGAAAGCGCGCATAATGCTCACACCTCAGACAAAGCCATCTCCTCTTACATCCAATCAGAGGAGTTGTCAGAAATCACCCGGATGGGCTCAGCCACATCCCAAAAACACCACCTGCTCAATTCCATCCCTGCTTGGAGGGAAGTCAAAGCAGTACACGCCCAACTCCATCCCTACATGGAGTGAAATCAGTGCAGGGGACACACACCCATATAGACTCAAAGCAAGCCTTGAATGCAATCCCTGAGTCTTACAAAGAAGTTACAGCCTCGTGAAGGTAAGACAAATAGCTTGAGAAATTGACAGCCGAAAACCCCAGCATGAAACATATGGATACCTCAAACCATAGCCAAGGCGACTTTCACATCAGAGTCGATGATCAGACATTAACCCACACAACAGCCAAGCATAGTGGTCATTCTTTTATGTGTGTCATCCTTGCGCAGGGCCCAAGGCTAATCTTCTCCATATGGTTCCAATTTTAACAGATGTCCCGACATACATTCTTGTCAAGACTCCTAACAAACTAAAACACCATAAAGGACAACAGGTCAGGTCACAGAAGTTCACACAACCAACTTTCCCCCAAAAAGCAGCCGCAACACAAACTGTGGTCATTCTTTTATGTGTGTCATCCTTGCACAGGGCCCACAGCTAATCTTCTCCGTATGGTTCCAATTTTAACAACAGATGTCCCGACAGACATTGTTGTCAAGACTCCTAACAAACTAAAACACCATAAAGGACAACAGGTCAGGTCACAAAAGTTCACACAACCAACTTCCCCCCAAAAAGCAGCCGCAACACAAACGCCCAGAAGCAAGGACCAGTCTCAGCTCAAAATAATAAACCACGAGGGACAAATCAAAATCTAAAACATAGCAGATTGGATGTGCTTGACCAACCCTGTCCATAAAAAGCCTCACCTGCACAACCCCCCAAATGTGCAAAGTGGAGAACATATCTTCCTTTAGGACATGGAAAGATGCACCCACAATAGTTCCTTGTTTGTTTTTAAACTCGCATTTGGTGAGTGACACAGCAAGGCCCTCAGTCACGAATCCACACTGCATACAACAGACGAACTCTCTCTGGAAATTCTTGAATGAGAGTCAGTACGGCATGGTTAACATGAGCAGTTGCTGAGAAAGATCATACACCCACTGTCGCCTAGCCTTAACTGAACTTACCTGGACTCGCTCACACACGTACATGAACTGTTTACCTGGACTCACTCAAACACATATATGAACCCATCTACTGAAGTCCGTTACCTGCACTCTCTATCAAACACACGTCTATCTCTGAACTGACTGCACTGCTTTAATCAAACACGCACCCCACCCAGATTATACCGTTGGGCAATACCCAAAAAAACTGACTCACTGTGTTCCGGCCGTGACTGCACCATCTGCAGCATTATCATCATGGTCCCTTCCAGTGGACTGCCACCCGTCATCAATGATCACAAATCGGGCTGGTGCTCCTCCCTCCGCCAGGCTGCACACCATTCATTGAACAAGTGAAACTTTTGTTAGTTTTAACCTCAGAAGGCAGCAAAAATGAGCACACAGCTTCCATAACAAATAGACGGTTGTAAAAAAAAACAACGACTCGACTCCTTGGTCTTTACTTGCCTTGAGACCCAAGAAGTCCCTGAAATCGTCCAGAAGAAAAAACTCACGGGCAACATTTTCCCACTACTGGAAGTGATCTATTTTGCACAACCTAGAACTGATGTGATTTTGCATGCACTGATGTGTTTTACAAGCACTCAGCACACTTCACTATGCACAATGAAGTCATCTATTTTGCACACCTACAGTCTTCCCCCAAATACAACGCACGGTCATTATTGCCGAATCTGGTGCATCTTTCGGTCTAAATTCAGCTATAATGACCGTACGTTGTACTCGGGGGAAGACTGAAGAACTGATGTGATTTTCCATGCACTCATGTGTTTTACAAGCACCCAGCACACTTCACTACGCACAGTGAAGCGTACCTTGCCTCGCCAAGCTGACATCGCCACAAAGCTTTACTGAATTTTCCTACAATGGATCACTCTGAGGAAACCTCCAAGTTGCTGTCACTTAATTTATATAAATAATATAGAACCGTGTCCAGAATTTTTTTGCACCATGATTTGCGGTTAACCCACATGGACTGGAAAGCACATCCTCACACGGATTATGTGACGGATAGATGGGAGTACCAATTGATTTTCACCTGCAGTGAAGTCGTGCAAGGTTCCCAAGGGTTACCACTACTTGCAACAGTGGCATGTCACTGAATAAAACTACTCAGAATTTTTCTGCACCGTGATTTGTGGTTAGCCCACATCGCATGAATAGATGAGGGTACATTTGTTTTTGCCATGCGGTGAAACTGATGCAAGGTTCCCAAGGGTTGCTACTAATCGCAGCAGTGGGATGTACCTCAGTCCAGTACAGACTCTACCGTGTGAGTGGCGTACATCACCTATCTCAGGAAAAAGAACCAAGCTGATCATTGAGTTGGATCATCCAATAGTGACGCATAGTGAATCAACTAACAGTGCCCCGCATCTCATTGCTGGGAAGTAGCAGCAACCCCTGGAAGGGCTCCCGCACTGACTCCCCTCCCACAAGTAAACAGCAATCATACCCTCGTCAGCCAGCCCTGGGGAATTGAACTCCACCCACGGTTTAGTGTCAAGGCGCAAAAAAGGAGTTCCACTAACTCAGATATTTGGAGACTTACTTGGCGGTTCCCATGCCCTAATTCCACTCCCAGCCTCCAAATATAGACAACCGTCATACCCTATAAACAACAGTCGTACCCTCATCAATGGGACCTGTGGAGACTTACTTGGCGGTTCCCATGCCCTAATTCCACTCCCAGCCTCCAAATATAGACAACCATCATACCCTATAAACAACAGTCGTACCCTCATCAATGGGACCTGAGGCAGTGAACTACAGCAGCTGTTTAGTGAAGGTTCGGAAAAGGAGTTCCAACAACTCGGGCATTCAGAGAGACGACATTGACGTTCGGAGATATGTGACACAGATCGCCGTTCTGTAAAGGAACACGCCATTGAATTATGCTGCGGGCTTAGTTAGGGTAACAAAAAAGGAATTGCAACTCGTTTCATAATAAAGTTGAATAAAGTTTAATAAACACAGATAATGGGAGACTTGCTCCGCAGCTCAGACAACACACCAACCAGTTGTGGCCTAAAGGCTGTGACGATACAGCATTGGACAAAGCGGAGCTAACCAGCTAAGCAACGTGAATCAAAGAGTAAAACAACACAAAACAATCACAACGACAGAGGCAGCAGCTTTCATTTTGAAATCCCAAGTGTTCAGAGAACTTCAGACGGAACGGCACAACAGTAGTTGGCTGCACAACTCCATTCTCACACAGCCATGCAGTTCAGCATACACCGCAATAAGCGGAGGGAGAGACAGCTGTGGAAAAATAACAACGAAGGACAGCCCAGCGGGAAAAAGACGAAGACGAAATCCAACCATCTGATTCCAAAACGTGAAATGAAATATCCTCCTCACTCGTGGACGGCAACAGAGAGCCGTGCACAAATTTTCTGCAAACATAGGAAACGAATTTACGAAAGCATAGCATGCTAGCATCACCTCAAAGGGAAACTGAAGTTACTGAACAAATTTTCTGCCAAAATAGGAAACGAAAGCATAGCATGCTAGCATCACCACAAAGGGCAACTGGACATTTTTTCTGAAAAAATAGCAAACGAAAGCATAGCATGCTAGCATCACCATAAATGGAAACTGAACGGCATGATGTCTGTCAGGTTGTGTTTTTTTTTTTAACAAATTTACATGGTATGTTAATCGAGTAGGCAGCAATATTTTTTTTTCACAATACATTTAAGGCCCGTAATGCAGTAGTACATGGTGTACATTGACACAAAAAAGACAGTGATAAGACACTCGTTTTGACAGACACTGTCCCACAC